AGGCACTGGGCAAGACCAAGTTAATTACAAGCTGTTGTATTTTCCAGCTCTTGGTCTGTTGCTGGAGTGGCTAAGCCCTGGTGGGCTGATGTGCAGCAGCACAGTCACACTCTTCCCCTCCTTTCTTTTAAAATTCAAAATAATATTAAAGAAATGGTGCTTTAAACATGGATGCATGGAGCTTGCACGGCGAAGCATGGGAAAAGACCTCCCAATAAATGTCACTGTCATCCCGGTGTGTGTCCCAGGTTCTTCCCCTGTGCTCTGTGCTCACCTGTGGCTGCCACATGAGCAATCCCTGCCATCACAGCATTAACCAATGATCTCATTAGTGAGGGCTGTCATTAGCTAAGGCTCCATTTCGGGGACATCGGCCACTCACCTCAGCTTGCCAGGTGACCCTGGAGGCTTTTGGTGACTCCAGGGATGGCCCTCGGGAGGTTTCAACACTGATTTAAACCCAAGCCATCCCTGAAGAACAAGGTCCTGCCCTGCTGCCTGTCTTTTCCAGCGCCGTGTGAAAGGACTTGGATGCACATTTGGGATGGGGACGGACCCCCATTACGGTGTCAGCAACCCAATGCCGTGAGGACCCAGTGGCTGCAGGTACTGGGAGGACCCTTAGGCTGCAAAAGGTTTGGGTGCCTCAGGCTTCATCTTTGCAATGTGATGAGAAATGTTGGGCACAGAGATGTCCCTATGGTGGGATGTTGTGGGCTGGTTGGGTGATATAATTTAAATAATTATAAGTAAGTAGCTCCATTTCTAATTGATTTCCTAGAGGTAGTCAGAAAACGGAGACTATTATCACTGCTCTGGCCCACTGGGTAAGCTCAGACGTATTATTAAAAAGCTGCTGTTTGCTTCCTCCTCTGCTACATTTGCCCTGTTTGACCCTGAGCAACACCGTCATGAGCAACTTTGCCCAGAGCCTGAAATTTATCTTCTGCCTCCCTCTGAGGAGCTGGCAGAAACAGTCCTTTCTGGACGCTGTGAGTAGAAAAGCCCGTTTCCACATTGGTGCTCAGGGCAAGGATTGGACCACTCTCTCCCAGAGACTTTTCTCATGGCTTCAGTTACTCACCAAAGTTAAAAGATGCAATGGGTGTTGGGTCCAATGTGTCCCTGACTGTAGATGTGGGCTTCTGACTCGTGGCTGGCTGTTATCAGCCATCCTTTGTACCTCTGCACCTTGCCTTCCTGGGATGAAGTCCCCACGCACCCTCCAGCAACACACGCTGTGCTGCACCCTGGGTCCACGCAGCCACCGGTCCCGTGCTGACCTTGCCCTTCAAAAAACACTCATTATTTATTAAACAGAAAAGTAAGAAAAGGGATGCACAGCCCTTCCCTGCAAAGGAGAACTCATTTTTTTTGCATAGCCCCACACATGTCCCCTCACCCTCCTGTGCCTCAGTTTCCCCATTGGTGGGACAAGGCTGTTATGGCATCCCAGCCTTGCAGGTTGGACACAGCCGAATTACAGACTGATTATGGTTGGAAAGGACCTTTGGAGGTTTCTGACCCAAACCCTGCTTTAAGCAGGTTCAATCTCAAATTTAAATCCAAACTCACAGTTAAATCAGGTGGCTCAGTGCTTCCGCAGGTGAATTTTGAGTTTCTCCAAGGTTATACTGGAGACAATAAACTCTCCAAGCCCTGTGCTTGATCACCCTCATGGTTAAAAGCTATCTCCTAATATTTAACTAGATTTCTCCCTGGCTGCAGCTCGTGCCTGCCACCCCTTGCCCTGCCGCCCGACACCAGCAGGAACAGCTAGACTCCATCTTTCCCACATATTCCCATTCCTAGGCTCGGCGCGGGGCAGTCACGTCCACCAGCTGCGCCGCGGCGAGGGGAACCTTGGCGAGTCGCAACGGGGAGAAGTTTTCCGTGAGCACAAGCGCAAAGGGTGACTGGGTTGAAAGCTGCGGTGGTGGTGAGGTGAGTTCCTCAGCCACTTTCCTGCCTCCTGTGTGGGGTCAAGTGGCCTCCCGATCTACTGTGCTATGCCGAGGGGCTGCACCGTTGGCCAGAGTGCCCCAGGTGGGAATGGCTGCGGGGGGTTCATGGGATCGGGGAGAGAGGGAGCGTCTTCCGGCAGCGCCTGCAGCTGCTCGGTGGGATTTGCATGAATCGGGCAGATTTAGCTCAGCCCTTCCTACACTGAGTTAAATCCTGTCCTCAGTTTAACCCCTTTAAGCAAGATCAGCCTGCTCTAAAAACATAGTTATTTCCTTTTATTTTGTTTGTTTATTTAAATTTTAAAAGTCCAGCTTTTGCAAATAGCCTGCAGGGGACGTGACGTGCTTGCGTGGTGACTTCTGCACTGTCAGGGCTTTTGCTCAGGCTGGGAAGTGTCTCCGGGGCAGGGTGGAAAGGGCACAGGGAAAGCGGGACGAGGAGACTCCTGCCACCTCCCTGCAAATCTCAGGCAGCGTTTCCACCACCCACAAACCACCGCGTGCCCTCTGCCAGTTCTGTCCACTCCGGTTCCCCACAGTGTGAGATTTCTTTAGGGGAAAAGGCTTTTTTTCCCCTGAGGACCTCTGTCTGTCCACATGGGAAGTTTTTTGGGGGGTCAGCTTGGGATGCAGGGCTGTCCCTGTTGGGGGGGAGATGCTCTGGGGCCCTGGCAGTGACCCCGGTGCATCCCCAGGACCCATGGAGTACGTCAGCACGCGGGGAGGAGCAGGGGCCGTTGACTTTGAGGGAGCCCTCTTCTCCGGCTACGCACCCGACGGAGGCCTCTTCATGCCCCAGCACATCCCCTCGGTGGACGGGGACACCCTGAGGAGGTGGAGCTGCCTCTCCTACCGGGAGCTGGTGAAGGAGCTGTGCTCCCTCTTCATCACGGCCGAGCTGGTCCCGCGGAGCACGCTCAATGGTGAGCCTCATCCATGCAGGGAGCTGCTTGCAGGGATGTTCACAAGGATTTTGGGGCCTTCAGATGCATCTGCCTGCCTTCGTCCCATCCTCTTCACAGGCCCCAGAGGATAGACCCTGTTGCACCATTGCCTGCTCCTTTCCGTACCCTCTTCTCTGTCACCTCCCTGGAGCTTGTTACCTTCTGGAAAAGGTGCCCCCAGTGTGCAAATAGGGATTGTGGTGACTGCAATAACGATAGCTGATGCTGTGGTCCTGCTAACTGCTCCAGACCTGCCCTCCCACCAGGGCTTTCTGCAGCTCCACGCTCTCACCGAGGTCCGATTTTTAATGCTTTTAACATTTAACAGCTATCACTTCCACTAGAGGGCAGCTACAACCTCTATCTCAACAGCATATTATGATAAAATTTGAGTTTCCTGTATTTTATATTTTAAGAGTTTGCTCTGATTGTGTCAGGTGTCCCCTGGGGTCTCTCACCACAGAGCTATTGAAGACAATAAAGTGGGATGGTTTACTCCTAATAACTAAGAATAACTTGTTGGATATCTGTCACCTCTCCAGCAACTGAGAGTCATTGGTTATGCAAAAAGCTTTCCAGGAGCATGAAGAGCACAGATGCAGTAATCCATGAGTCAGAAAAATACTCCTTTATCCAATCTAACAGCCCCTTTAACTATTTCCCCTCTAGACCTGATCGACAGGGCCTTCAGCAGGTTCAGACACAAGGACGTCATCCATCTGTCCAGGCTGAAAGATGGGCTGAATGTTTTGGAGCTGTGGCACGGGGTTACTTACGCTTTTAAGGATCTGTCCTTGTCCTGCACGGGGCAGTTTTTACAGTACTTCTTGGAGAAAAGGCAGAAGCATGTCACTATTCTGGTGGGTGAGTATACCTTTGTGGGAGATAAAACTTCTGGGCAGGTTTTTACCTTCAGAGTTATCATCCCACGGCCCTCCCCATAGATGTCCTGCAGTGGTATTGCCTCCTGGGTGGCTGGTGAGTGACATCTGGGCAATGCCAGGGTGGCTGCTCTAGCCAAAAACATCTCATGGAGCATTTCTGCATCTTTTTCTTAAAGTGCAGTGACGCAGGTTTCACTGACGTCAATTTTTTGCTTCTCTTGGTTCTCCCTCACTTTGCAACAGGGACTTCAGGGGACACAGGGAGTTCAGCTATTGAGAGCGTGAGAGGGCAGAAGAACATGGACATCTTTGTTCTGCTGCCCAAGGGGTACTGCACCCAGATACAGGAACTTCAGATGACCACCGTCATTGAAGACAACGTCCACGTCTTTGCTGGTTGGCATTACTGTTGGACTGTCCACTTTATGGCCCTGCTCTGTCAAAACCATGACCCTAAAAGTCTCAGGGGGCTGCTGCTTTGCCAGTTGCAGCCAGCTGGGTCATTGCCATCATGGCCACCATGCCCTGATGTCTGGCTAACATGACCCTATAGCAGATGTCCCCACTTTGGCGGAGAGTGGTTCAAGGCTTCCTTTTCACTTGGTCACAGACTAGAGCTGCCTCCATGCAGGTGGTTGGTGCTTCACTGCACTGAATTCAGCACCATTTCTTGGCACTAAAAGGATCAACAGTGACCCCTTCCCTCTGGACCCTCACGTTCATGGGTGGTCCATCCCCTACCTCTGGATGGGGATCACCACGGGGTGCTTGAGATGTCCTACGGACTTCTCTGCTCAGCCAGGTCTCACCTTGGCATCTCACAGGGGATGCAGGCACTTGCCTTCCTGGTGAATATATGCTTGGCGTAAATGAGAGCGCAGAGTGCAATGTCTGCAGAAACCACCCAGCACCCACGTGGTGATACTCAACCTCTGGCTCATACAGCCCCCCAGGCAGACGAGCAGCTCAGGACACCCCTGGCTGCAGCAAAACCCAGGGCTTGAGACTGACCCTGTTTCTGAGCAGAAATACTTTGTGCCTGATGCGCTGATGTTGGCAGATCTAATCTTTCCTTTCTCCTTTTGACAGCTCATGGGAACAGTGATGAAATCGATGAGCCGATCAAGGAACTGTTCGCTGATGTTGATTTTGCCAGAAAATACAATCTGATGAGCTTGAATTCGGTCAATTGGTCTAGGATTATGGTGCAGATTGCTCACCACTTCTACGCTTACTTCCAGTGTGCCCCGTCCCTGGATACCACCCCACTGCCAGTGGTGGAAATTGTTGTGCCAACAGGAGGAGGAGGAAATATCACAGGTGAAGGGAAAAAAGATAGGTTAGATATGGAAGAGAGAGAGTGCTGTGACCTATGGACTAAAAGCACTTTGCAGATGCTGGGTATTGCTATTTATTAAAACACCCACTCTCTGGTAGGATTTCTTCAGAACCACTTATATTTTATTACTCATGTGTGGCTATTACTCATTTAGGTGTCACTGATGCAAGGTGCAGAAAATCCCACACCACCCCTTGATGATGACTGTAGCTATCTTGAGGATGGGCACATTAGAAGAGGACAGAATGTTTTTGATCCAGAAAAGAGGGAAAATACCGTGGCTCTGATTTCCTAAGTGAGACATTAACAGAGGTGTGGAGTCCTGCCTGGTCCTATTCTGGTTTGCATGGTAGTAAGCAGTCAAGAGAACCACTCTTAATTGCATAATCTGGCCTTCTAAATGTGAGTCCTTGATTGCCTCCATCCCAAAATAGGCATACAACTGTCTTATGAAAGCAATAAAGAATTCCACACACTCAACTGCATTCACTGTATTTCCAGGCTGCACATCTGAGGCAGCATTAACAAGCTGCAAGAATCCAAAAGCTTCCTCTCTCTGGCTTGAACAGCAGCTACCTCACCTCTCGGTCCCCTGCCCATCCGTCTTTAATTGTGGAGATGCCCAAGGGTCAGCGTTTGATGGCAGGTGGAACATTGCATCCCTGGATTTTATAATCTGGTGCTCTACCAAAACATTAAAGACAGATATCTCAGAGTCCATTAGGGAATGTCATTTGTGTCTGCTTCTGAAGTACATGATCAATCAATTTGTACAATGACTTCTTTGCTAAATCTCCTTTGAATGTTTCTTCATCAAGCATGCATGTATTTTTTTCACTTTTTTTCAGCTGGTTGTATTGCCCAGAAAATGGGTCTCCCGATTCGACTCGTTGCTGTGGTTAACAGCAATGACATCATTCATAGGACTGTTCAACATGGAGACTTCTCACTGTCAGAGAGCGTGAAGGCTACATTAGCATCAGCCATGGATATTCAGGTATGTAAGGAATTGGCCAAAATGGGAAAATACCAAATATTATATAGCTTTATTTTTTTTTCCTCATACACTGTTGTATTTGGTTTATGACAGCATAATTCTGACTGGCAATGCCTCTCAGGGATGCATTAAGAGGTGTGACTCATATTGAGCATTTATGCTGCAGACTGCTGAGCTGAGATTGATCAAACACCTTCTTCCTCACTTTTTAGGGCTTGACTTTGTAGTCTTCATTGTTAAATGCTGGGTTTCTGGGGCTTTATTATGTGCAAGGTTTGCAAGAGAGGGACACCTTCTCAAAATGTGACAGTTAGAAAATTATAAATCTCATCATGTCTCAAGGGCTTTGTTGATGCTTCTGAAAGGCTCCACCAAGAGCAAGAGAAGAGACCAGGAAGGTCAGGAAGCCCAGAAGAAATGCCTCATCTATGGCCATCTGCAGCTTGCTCAGAGCAAAACAAGTCTCAGCAGGCAGGCAAAGGCCTCAGAAATGAGAAGTCATGGAGGTACAGAAACTAAACAACTGCAAACAAATACCTCCCATTTCATACTTACCCCGTGATCCACAGCTGTTGGAGCTGCTTCCAAACAAGTGGCCAAAGTGTGAAACACTTGGTGTTGTATCACTGTGACCTTAAGCTACCTGGATTTTCCAAAAGCTATTCAAACACACTGGGAAGACATTATGCCCCTATCACCAGCCTGCTGTGATCTGCAGCTTGACTTTCCTCCCAAGTATGAATTTGCGGGGCTCCTCAGAGCTCAAAGGGTAGCTGGGCTCTTCTCTTGGCCCATGTCCCTTCAGTAGCACTGGTCTGCTGAGGCACCTAAGCATGTGCCAGACTTTGGGATCATGAGGAAAGGCAGCCAGGCGAGGTCATGTCCAGAGACTCCCAAGGAGCTGGATGGGTGTATCCCTCTGCACATTCTTCTTCATGGCTGCATGGGACATCATCATTCAGCTCACATCTGAAGCATTCATGCAAATTTTTCCGTAGCTCAACAGATCATTCATGCTGGAAGGGAATTCAGGAGGTCTCTAGGTAGGACCTACTCAAAGAAGGGTCAGTCCTGAGGTCAGACTGGGTTGCTCAGGGCTTTGTCCAGTAGGGTGTTGGAAAGAGAGTACACAGCCTTTTTAGGTTGCCTCTTTTGCAGACTACGCTAAAGCAGAGGAAACTTTCCAGTTAGACACTAACTGAAGAGTTGAAGGTGAAGCAGAAAGTCTAGGTCAGGAAGCACCATTCAGCTCGTGCCCACATGCCAAAACCTTCCTTAGGAACAGTCCTCAGCATGACCTGTCCTCCAAACTGGGCCTGGACATTCTCCTGGATAACTCTAGTTGCATGGGACAAAACCACAGCAGAGAGCTGGCTAATAATGGCAAGGCCAGTTCTTGCACCAGTGTCCTGGCCCAGTTTCATTTAGAGGTGTCAATGTAGTGATCTGTAGTGGAAATCATAAAGCTGATATAAATGGAGGGTGAAGGGGAAGGTCTGGATGTGGAAGCAGAAGAAGGAAGGACAGGAGAAGGGGTGTCAGGAGGATGGCGCTGGAGGCACCTGCAGTAGCAGGTCATCGAAGTCCAGGCATGCTGACATGTAGCTTCTCAGGACAGCCAGGTTGGAAAGCAGAGGACAGCCTGAAACAGGGGACAGCCTAAAGCAAAAGGCAGGCTACGCCCAGACTAGACTGAAGATTATAGGCTGGAGGCTCTGGGAGATGGTGGTGAGAAGATGAAGAACAGGACTGGGGCCATAAGCCACCCAGATAAGGACACAAAAGGCTGAGTAAGTCCTGATGACTAGCCTAGGTAGGACAGGATGGAGAGACAAAAGGTCACAGGCACTGTCAGCTGCTGAAAGGTATAAAGAACTCATCCAAAACCAGCACTTGAACCCAGGAGATGTGATGAGGACTCGGTAGTCGGTGCCCCTTGTCCTGTCTGTCCCTACAAGGTATCTTGGCCAAACCACCTGGATGAATGTTTCTTGGTGCTCTTGAGCGTGCAGGAATGAGACAGTGAGCAGTGAAATTGGTTTGGGACCCTCCTGTATGGTCTTGCACCGAGTTTTGCTGCAGTGTTGCAACACCGATTGCTACATAGCCATACAGGCCAGTCAGGCCCTATATGTGCCTTATATGTTCATAAAGATTATCGGTCAGCCCTGAAGGGAGCTGGGTGTCTCATTAAGTCACGCGGGAGCTGAATGACTCACAACAGCATCTGCAACACTGAGTAAACAGCTGGATATTTCTGGTTCTCAAATACATAGTATGTTATTAGCCTGGGTTCCTCAAGGTGATTCTACAGTTGTGGTCACACTGTTGATTTATCAGTTGCCCCTTCATTAGTTGTTTGGGTTTTTTTAATCTGATGGTCACTGCCAGACTGCTCTGACAGGTCAGAGGTCTGAAAGACATCGTGTTCCCAAAGACTTGTCTTGGGAAGTAGGTATGCAGGGGGAAGACACTAAGTCCACCCCAGCTTCCACCAAGAAAAATGAGGCAGTAGGACCTCGACCCTAATTAGACATCAGAGAATCCACACAGGTGCTCACCCCCAAGACAGACACTTGAATTTCCGCTGCTTACCTATTGTCTTGTTATCCCAGGAGCCCTACAACGTGGAGAGGATCCTCTGGCTGCTCTCAGGCTCCGACAGCAGCCTGATGAAAACGCTTATGGAGCAATTCAGCATGTCGAAAAGCCTTAAACTGCCGGAGGATTTGCATAGAAAGGTCAGTTCCTCACACATGCAGCACCTTGTGTGTGTGTAAGGAGATTTACTGCTACCAGTTGTTTTCTACTCATTTTCAGAATAAAAATATCATAGTGTAAAATTTCCAACCAAAAATTTAAGCATGAGGCCAGAGGAGTTTTATTAGTGTGTGTGCATGGAGATGTTAAAATGACCTTTTAAATTATTTCTTTTTTTTTTTAATTAACCTCTTTCTTCTTTGCAAAACTGATTAAAAACTGCCTACAATTATTTAAGTAGAATATGTGACCACCTCTTCCTTGGCCACTCCAGTGTCTTTGCACCAAGACATTGTGCAGCGGGTGCCGGCACAAACCGAGAGTGGCTCTCAGGAGGGCGTCTGCTGGGTTTGGGGCTGCAACACAAAGCAGAGAGAAATACAAAAGAAAACCATACGCTTGAGTTGTGAGGCTCCTTGGGACAGATGCAAAGTCCCGCCTCTTCCCATCCAACACGTGCTGTCCCCCACTGAGCATCCTTCGCCTGGCACCCGTTCCTGCTTGCGCAGTAGCAAAATAAATACTAAAAGATTGCATTATTAAAAGAAAGGAGAGCTATTACACTGAGGTGGGTTTTATAAGCCCTCAGAAACTCCCTTGGAGCATGCAAGTAGCAGCGCAGAGCTGAGGAGCTGAGCCTCAGCTCCTCTCCACCCACACTTCCAGCACCTGGGGATGGAAACCCCTTGCTCACTCCCTGGCCCTGCAGCCATTTTCAACCGTGCCTCATCCCCCAGCTGCAGCAGCAACTTCTTTTCCTTCAGTCCCTGGGGATCTCCATCCTCCATCCTCCCTGTTTCAAACCGTTTTGCTGAGTGCCTGTGGCACAAGCCCGACTGGGAACGTGTGGCGTGGTGAAGTCCTGTGCAAACCTCCCTGTCTCCCCTTGGGCCACAGCTCTCCAAAACCCTGCGATCATGCTCGGCCTCTGATGAGGACATCGTGCAAGCGATGCAACGCTGCTGGGAGGAAAACCGCTACCTGCTGTGCCCTCACTCTGCTGTGGCTGCTCACTACCACTACTCGCAGCCCGACAGGTAAGAACAGCCATGGTCAGGAGCACTGGGGACCAGAGCATCACTTCCCCCTTGCTCCTGCAGCATCTCCAGCTCAGGGCTTGCTTACATCAAAAGTTTCCTTCCTTTTCTTTCCTTTTCAGCACGCCCCGGTGTTGCTTAGCTCCGGCCTCTGCAGCCAAATTTCAGGATGCCCTGCTCCGAGCTGGCCTGGTTCCCCAGCTCCCTCCTGAAATCACTGCCTTAACAGCAATGAAGACGAGGTCCACCCCCCTGGAGCGGGGGCAGGACTGGGCAAAGGTGCTCCGGGAGCAGATTGAAGTCATGGCACAGCGGCGGGAGGCAAGGGGGGGTCCGTCGGCCACCCCGGGACAACATGGGGTCACCAGGCAGGGAGTCACACAGACCTGAGCTACTGGGGCACGGCTGGCTGATGCCTCCCAGGGCTCATTTTCCATCCCTAGGAGAGCCCGATGTTATGCTGGGAGAGGAGCCTACAGTCTCTGTGCAATGAAGTATTAGCAGGAACACATTTCGCCATTGAATTGTATAGACTAATAGCATTTTCAGTAAAGAGCTCTGCAGTTGTATACTCTTTTTCCTGGAAATTAATACAAAATGATTGGAACTCTGAATAAACCCACCTGTTCCATCATTACATGCTATTACAGAAAGCTCCCTTAGCACTACTCATAGTCACCAGCTGCCTGGGCATTATCCAGTGATTCTGGTCCCGTGCGGGGATGTTCAGCCCGGTGGTCCCAGTACCACCTAAGATGCTGAATGAGAAATGCATGCAGGGCTGGGGTGGATCTGCTTTACTCATCCCCATAGTTTAAGCAGGGCCAGGGATCATTCCCAGGCATTGTGACTTGCTCAGTGACAGTGTTAAATACTAGATGTTTTCCCTGGACACGTATATTTTAAGGAGCTACTTTCCAGTGCCATATCTTGCAGCTTTTGGTCCCAATACTGCTGCAGAGTCTTCCCAGGCAACTTCCACTGAAACAAACAGGAAATGGGAAATTCCCCTTATCTTCAGTCTGAAACTTCAGGTCTTTCAATACCACATTCCCATCATATACATATAAATATATAAATACCTCGTGTGGGAGCTGCCTCCACAAGTCGTGCATCTGGCAGGAATCTCTTGTGCCTAAAAAGGGGGGAAAAAATGAGTAATTACACCATGGGGGGAAAATCCCCCTTTGCCATCAAAAAAAATTCCCCCTTTGACATCAAAGGAAGTGCCATAATGGGAGGATTAATTTGAAGGTCTAGTGGCATTTAGCACCGTATAAGTAAATTCTGTGAAGTGAATCAGCATGGGATGTTGCAGAATGTGCGGGAAGAGTGGGAAGCTTTGCCTGGGCTGCAAGCCGCCTTACCGGCACCTGGGCAGCCGTTTCCTTGGCTCCCCCTGGCACAGCTGGCCCTGTGCCACCTCCTTCCATCCCACCAAAACCCTGCAGGAGAGGAGGGACGCGCGCCTCCTCTGAGGCTAAGGCTGCCCCGTGCCAATTAACGGGGGTGAGGGAAACAGCTTAGTTGAAAATTATGCAAAAAACCCACAGTGCTTGGATGCTGGATGTTTTTAACACTGATGGTTCTACTAGTTGCGTGGATTGAGCGTTCGGGAGGAAAATGGTGGTAGGGTTCAGGGAAGGTGTGATGCTTCACGAGGCCATCATTCACCCCTCTTTAAGAGCCAAACTGGCCAATGAACCATGTCTTATTTAAGGAATAACACAGCCTCATCCTCAGGAACACCCTTGCCTCAAAGGATAGCTTTGCACTGGGGGACGGTGCAGCTAGTCACTGGTGGTGTTGATGACAAAGGCCTCTGATCCCATTTGACCCCCATGACAGGCTGTCCCTTTCGTTGATGTACACGTTATACTCGTTGGACTCCACCGCCTTTAATAGGTGCCTCCCCAAATCTTGCGGTTCTTGGTCAGGGATGGCTGCCTGGTTGTAATTTAGCTCTTAATCATAGCTTAAGACACCCTGTGAGGGGAGAGAGGCCTGGAATTGCATCCAGCTCTGCATCTAAGCGAGGGGTTGAAAATCTGCCTTGCCGGCCAGGACTGGAATAAAAGGGGAGGTGGCAGGGCAAGGAGCCAGACCCCGACCCCTGGCCAAGGAGCACCAGGAAGGATGGGGCAAGGGATGCTGGGCTTGCAGGCCACCAAAGCCCTGGTGTGTTTTGCAAGCAGAAAGCGTGGCGAATACATGCCCACGCTCCCATCCCTGTGCTCCGAAGCAGTCGGACAGGTAAAGGGTCCAGCCTCACTGCGGTAAGGCAGCAGATGATGCCTATGTGGGGTGAAAAGGTGTTTGATTCTCAAAAATCACTGAGGATACCCTTATGGCATGAGGGTGTTGCTTTTCCCCCAGTCCAAATCAGACGTTTTTCAGGCAGGACACTACGAAACCTCTCTCTGGGATTTGCAGGGCAGAAGCGCAGCAGGAAAAGCCTGTTTCATGCCCGGAGCTGAGGCGGAGGGTGCATAGACACGCTCAGCTGGCAGGGTGGCCGTGGTCCCACAGAGGGCAATGCACAGCCGCCCGCGGCAGCCCGGGATGCAGGGATGAACCTGGCCTCAAGGGTATACCATGTTCCACCACCTGCTCTGGGGTTATGGCATCCCCGGCTGCTCTCTCACAAGGGGACTTTTGCTCCCACTGCAGCCCCAAAACGGGTGCTCAGGGCTCTGCTTGCTCCTCCTCAGGTCTCCATCTGAGAGGGAAGGTCAGTGTTGTTTGGTGGAAAAGTGGCAAGCACAGGGAGGAAAGTCGTGCAGGAAGGCAGTACCTCATTGCCCGACAATTTAATGGGCAGCTGCAAGCTCTGGCAGCTTGACATGTTCCCAGAATTAATGATATATTACTTCTGCACCTTCCAGAGCTGTTCAGGCCAGACTTGTGAAATAATTAATCTCATACCTCAACTGTGCATGCTTTTCCCCAGCAAAAATTCCATTTTAAGGCTCTTCACCCCCGGTAGATCTAACCCACACATCCTATGAGACAGCATTGCCCACAAGCCAGTGGCCATCCCCTACATGGACCCCATGTCTTGCCAGGGATGTTCCCCTGGAGGCTGGGACACCCTTCACACTGAGGGACATGGCTGGGACGCTCCTAACCCTTAAGTACCTCAAGTAGGAAGTATTGTATTGGGATGGAGATGAATCTGTTGGGATGGAAATGCAATGTATTGGGATAGAGCAATAGGGTCCCCCATGGTTCAGCTGGAGGATTCTACCCAGTAGCCTGCACGTACCAAAGCATCCTGCTGTCCTGTAGCCATTTGTTGGTGTGTCCAACATGGGATTGGGGCACTTGTCCCAGCGTGGGTTGGGATCTGTCTGGCTACACATGGGGTCGACCCTTTAAGCTGTCTGCCTCCGAGCTAGCAGTCATTGCCTGGCGTTGCATGCTATGGAGACACCAGGAGCAGAGCCTCGCTGTGTTTCATCACTCCAACCATTAACAGCGCCGTTAAGAGAGCTATTAATTAAAGGGGGACATGGGATGAGCGGCTGTCTGCAGTGCTGGCCAAGCAAAAATTAGGGGGAATATACAAATCACAATGGGCTGAGGATGAGGATGCTATTTCCCACAAGCAGAGCAGTCCAGCCCTCCCTCATGCTTTGCAACTATGTCCATTCCCATCTTCCAGCTCGTGGATGCCCACTCGATCCTTCCTACCCAAGGAACTGATTTTGGGGCATTTCCTCTGCTGACCGTGGCTTCACATCCTTCTGCTCCAGTGTTACCTTTATGGTCTGGGAGGGGGAGTCCACAGCGGGGTGAATTATAAGCCAATTCTTTAAAACAGTGTTATGAAGGTTTGGGAGTTGAATTATTATTTATAATGCCCTGGAGGTGCCATGTAATTTATGGACAGGTATGAAGACAAGTAGGCGCTCAGACATGGGGATGAGCCCAGTGTAAATGCCGAGATAGAAAGACAGATAGATGGATAGATGAAGATAAGCTGCTTGGCCAGGAGAGCTGGAGATTGAAAAACCTGCTCTTATAGATCTGTGCTGTCCTAGGGTAATACCTACTATCCCAGTACTCCCACTCCATATAAAGTCATCTCAAATCTGGTGCAAATGGTTTGTTTACTCTTTTTTTGAATTAATTTATCCCAAGTGCAAGGAAAAAAAAAAAAGGAGTTGCTTTGTTGTTGCAATTTGCTGCTAGGCATTCCTATGTGTGCTAATGATAAGTATTAATTAAATAGCTTGCTGTTGTCTTTTAAATGCAGTTCTTTCAGGCTGTAATTAAACACAGACACCCAGCCCTTTCTGTCTGCATAGAAAGAGGCAGGCAGGCCTCCGGAGCTCTGCACTTCTTTCCTTGTAGCAGGAGAGAAGTGGAATATGAGGCAAAACCAGTTTCCATTGAAAACTCACCACCCTGTGCATGTCCTTCACGGGGAAAGCTACCAGCTCAAGGAAATTAAAGGAATGCGACTTCCAAGATCCAAGCCCTGCAATCAAAGTAAGTTTATATGCCCTTAAGATTTTGCAGCTTCATACATTTTAAAGGCAGAGGAGATCCCTTTGTTTGATCTCCGGCACAACACGGGCTGTTGAACATCACTCTGCCGCGTTCATCGAGCCCAGCAACTTGTTGGCTTATGAACATCTTGATGTGAAGATCTAGAGATAGGAGTCCGTCCCTCTCACTTGCTTCTTAGTCTTCCCAGGTTTTTTCACCCTTACTGTGAAAATCCAGGTACTGCTATAAACCCCTGTTCCTGTTCTGCTCCCGTGGTCAATATTAATCTCCCAACACGGGGTACATTTCCTGGGAAAACCTGAGATCTCACCATCCTAATGCCCTCTTGCCTCCGTGACTTCAAAGAGAAACTCGGTACTAAAGCTCACTAGAAATGCAAATAAAAAAAGTCAGATGCTCACGTGATAGAAGGCAACTCCCAAATAAAACTTTCCATATGCCGAACGGCAACTGCACCCAATGTTATTCCTGCCATCAAAGGTAACTGGGCTTCACTTATCCAAAATGTTGCTGTTTACATGAAGTGACACTGGCCATCTGCTGTATCACTTATAAGAGTGGTGGGGGAAGATGCAGCTCACTTGGAGGATGCCCTGGTCAGGGTTGGGCCATGGGGCACACATTTCTCTCCCACAGCTGCTGTGGGGACTGTGGGAGGGAGGAGAGGATGCGCTGGGGGAACGGAGCCAGCTCCTGCTGGTCACCCCGAATCCACACGTCAGCTGGACCTGCTCCTTGACAGACAGTGACAGTGAAGAGCTTCACCATGGTGAAGACAGTGGGAAGTGTGTTCAACAGCTGCACATATATATTTTTTTCAATGGAAACGTTTAAGGATGCGTTTGTGTAATTTATAACCTGAGATCTGTAGAGTA